CGACTGTTGAAGGAGGTAGAACTCTGGTTGATGACATGGACCAGCCATAATCATTTGGTGAGAGATCTTCCATTCATTGTCGTTGTTGTAATTGTCATGACCCCATTTGTTGTTGTGATACAATAAAATATCACCACTTTTCACCTCAAAGGTGGAAGTGCAACAAGTTAATTCTTTGAGGTGCTGAATTTCTTTGAGATTGTGGGTGATCTCTGTGCACATTTTGCATTTGTCTGCAGTTACAAAAATGTGTCACTTGTGTTTCTTGTCCATAAAAGTTGGCTCCCATCCTTCTGGCCAAAACCTGCCTTTCTCTGCATGACCATGTACAACCAGCAGCAACAGTTAGATGAGAAGCCATAAATGAACAATTGACACACCAAGAGGGCCACATTTCGTTCATTGAGACTCAACAACTTCTTCCCATGGTGAGTTTGCCCAGGAGGAAGCTTCAAATTCCTTCATTTGCTCAGCTTTCATCTCCTCTAATGGTTCCTCTGAGTGAGTAGGGTGTCTAGCAGCTGTGACTCACACTTCCTGTAAGCAACATGTTAGATGCACATTAAATCTTATTACACACCGAGGGCAGATGACCTGCTTTTACTAGCCAACATGACTAGGAGGTTTTTGTGAGGTGGGCAGCCGGGCAGCCTTTCTATGTGAGACTTGTCCAGAGGCTTTGAGTTTGGTGCAAGGAAGGCTTGGTATCAAATGCTGAGCATTTGATGATGTGAGATGTTGCAACAAGACGCAAGAGTCAAATGTTAACGTTCAATATTGGAGATTGGAATGACCAGCTAGAATTACCAGCTAGAGATTCAGGAGTGCCTCAGGGAGTCAAGTCAAATGTTGGCATTCAACAATGGTGAAAGTAAGAGAAAAGCAGCAATGAATGAATTAAACGTTAACATTTAATGTTGGAGATTTGAATGTCTAGCTAAAATTACCAGCTAGAGATTCAGGAGTGCCTTAGAGTGTCAAGTCAAGCATTGGCATTTGACAATGATAAAAGTAAAAAGAAAGCAGCAACATTGAAATGAAATGAATTACTTGAATGTTCCATTATGTAATATTTGGTCCACTGAACCACATGTGGTAAATGATCAACAAATGTGGTGACTGTTAAGGTTGTGCTCAAGGGGAGGAGAACTCAAAAGGGCTTGGCTTCAGCTCATGCACTGTGCCCCTTACCCAGGTACATGCCCTTAATTTCTGAGAGGTAGGAGAGAAGTCTGATGAAGTCCAGAGAAGCCCGGAAGTTAGATGCAGGGGGAGTTTGGCGGAACTCCAGAGATTCAGTAGATGTAAGAGTAAGACTACTACAGACAAGTTGGGAGTAGAAATGGAACAGAGGTAGACTACCCTAAGGTAGAGCCGGAGATATAGTCTAAGAAATAAACCCAAAGACTCAGAGGTGGACAGCAGGTAAGACTCAAGTCCAGAGAAGCAGGAATGAGCAGAAACTAAGATGATATTCAAACTGAGGAGATACAGAGTTTTACAGGAGTTTATGTACTGTAGGTAACAAGTAAGTAATCAGTCAGCATAGTGAAAGGCTGTGTACAAGGCATGTGGAATGTCTATTAGACAGAAAGACAGATCAGTAAGCAAGCCAGAAAAGTGTATAACCGAAGACCACAAAATTTGAATACACCCACATGGTATCAAAATTTAATGTTTGCAGATTTTGTATTAAATATTGGTGTTTGATGAGATAATGATGTCTACTTCAATAGAGATATGAACAATATCAATGAAGGTAACCCTAAAAAGGGACTTTCACAACTTCCAGGACAATTGACCCCAGATGTATAGACACAATCCTCAGGTGTCACAAATTGGTGAAAGCTATGGGTCTGTTAGAATCTATTTTATGGTGTGTGGGAAAACACATTACGTTGAATTGTTACAATGGGAGATTAGGAATGGATGGTAAGAGAAGCATAGGGAGAAAAGGCTTTAAGCAAGCAGGTAAAGAGTGCAGCACAGGAGTATAGGACATGAGAGGAAAGTAATTAGTCTATTACAATGGTTTCTATGGCCTCTTTGATAGCCCATGTCCCAATCTGCACCCAACAATGATCTGTCATTTTCAAATACCTCCCAACCTCCCCTGCTCCAACTAACCCCTTTGCACATATTTTCTTAATGCTTGAGAGCAATCGGATGGATCCTACTCCTGTTTTGCCCTCCATAGCCCTAACTCTTTCACTGTGTGATCCACTGGTTGTGTATGTGCACACTTTGTTACTTCCACATGGTTCAGTCACTAACCCTCAGAGTCTACCTGTATTCATATGCAGGAAGGAATAACCTATACACCCACTTACCTCAAGGCCCACTTTTCTGCTGCATGGATGATTGTATCAGACACCAGACTTGCAGCCAAAAATTATCAACCAAGGTGGCAAGGCTGCATTCAAGTCATACTGTTTGCAGATGATCACTGAAATACAAACCTTCAGTAGCACTTCTCCTCAACCAGCAGAACTCAGTAAGCATGATTGTTGATGACCTCTACTTTGATACACTTACAATATAGTAGGACTCTGACACTATGAAACTGGAAAGACTGAACCCTTGAACATCCAGCACCCAAAATCATTGAAATGGTATGTTATATTGTTGGTTTAGCTCTTCTTACTCCAATATATACCTACAGTCAACTCAAGTTCAGACATCAGCTTACTGAGTGTAAGGGAGTTCAGAACTTTCAAACATTAATGAACATCACAGCCATTTGGAGAACATGTGAGTTACACACTACTAGTAGTACTAATTTTCTTCAATAGTCAAATCAATAGTCTCATCTCCTCGTGTTCCCACACAACAGTGATGCTCAAACATGCATCTTATCATTATAAGCTCACAACCATTGCACCATGTAAGAAAACCACAGAATTTGTTTGTTGTGAGACCAGGCTGGGTGAAAGAGCCCAGTTTCAGAAGCTTCTCAAATGTTTTTCACTTTGCTGAAGTTGGTGCCATTGGATGAGTTCTAGTTTGATATCTATTTACAAATAAGTATCTTTTACTGTACAATCATAACTTGTTCCATATACCATTCCCATCCACAAACATGACTTCATATGATCTGGCCTCATCAGGTGCTGATATGAGACATATTAGATCAATAAGATATTAATGGTTACAGATGCTGGTATAATAGCCTCACCTTGTCTTGGATAATGCTTGAGTGGCAAGCCAAATGAAGTGTGCATTTGTTCAACACAAACTACATAAAGGTTCATCAGGCAATCCGAAGTTTGAAGTTGACCTGAGCTTACTGACATAACCGCATTTGCTTAATGCACAACAGGTGTGTAAGTAAATATGACATCCTTGTCTGAATGATTTTTTCTGTTTGCAGTGCTTGTGCTGTGGCTCAGGCTAAGCCAGGCCAAAGCCAAGCCATTCTGATCTCTGCTCCAGTCTAGCACTCCTCCTTCCTTTTCCATTGTGATCCTGAGTTTCTTGTTTTTCTCTGTGAAGGAACAGCTGCTTGCAACTAAGTCCTATTATGTACATCTGCAATATTGAGCAGGTCAGCATTATAGAAGATGAACACAATAACTGATAGAGGGCAGCCTTGGTCTATGCCGTTCTCAACTCTGAATTCATCTGAGCTGTAGTTCTTAAATGTGAGTGTGTTAGGTACTGTGCTGGCTCAAGAAGTGGAGGGGTCAGGGCTTGGCTTCAGCTCTTGCACTGCACCCTTAGCCGAGTACGTGCCCCAAATTTGGAGTGGGTCCGACGTTGTCCAACAATAGGACAAGTGGACTGCTTTGGTCCGCTTTGAGGGTTGGGAGGTAAATGCTAATAGTGGCGGGCCGACTAGAAGCAGAGGATAAGGCGGAGGGTGGATAGGAGCAACGGGGATGATTGACAGGGGTGGAGAAGTAAAGGGGGAGACTTAGAGCACAGCTCTAAGTCGGAGCGGAAAGTTGGAGGTGACAACCAGATGAAACTTGTGTCTGGAGGTGGCAAGGTCCTACTGAGAATTCTCACAAGTAGAAACTGCAAGAAGACAAGTAATATTAAGACTGATGAAAATATCTAAGTACAGGATATGTTATATACTTCTAAGTATGAGGCAGTGATCAGGATAACTATGTTGTAAAGCTATGCACTGAGGATATAATTTGTAAGTACATACACAGGTGAAGACATAAGTCAGAGCGGATATCAATATGTACGCGTCAGATCAGTGATCGAACGGTAAGAGGAATTACCGGTCTTCCGGGAGTAAGGGTCTATGTACTGAAGGGGAAAGTATATATCTAAAAGGGGAAAGCAGTTCCAGTTGAATGGAGGTGTTTATGGAAGGGGACCAGTTAGGCAGTTGAGCAGAAGTGTAGGGGCGGAAGTGGATGATGATTGGACGGAGCGGAGGATGGATGCAACGGAGGCGGTCGGAAAGCAGAGTGGATATTGATATTAGAGTGGTCGGATCAGGTATATGACAGATATACTCCAAGGGGATTCTCTGTTTTTGCATGTTGTGCAGTGTGCCTTCCATGACTAAACTGGGGAATGTTGGAAATCAGTCCACCAACGTTGTAGTAATACATACTTATCTTCTATCATTTCTGACCTTTGCTCACTATGCCAGCTGACTTACTGTATATAGTAATTCCATGTGCCATAGATTTGCTACACTTGTTTCTCAACTCATACAAGTTCTTTTGCTTTAAGTACACAGTATAATCTCCTATACTTGACTGTTAAGAGTTTGCAAGCCTTGATAAATACTGAATTTCCAACACCATTTGACTCTAGTGCTTTGAATCCTGAGAGTTTCTTGATTACTCTATTTATTTATGCATCAGTGATGCTTTCACATTTGCTGATGGGTTTGGAATATTCAATGTTTGGGTTGATGTGGCTGTTTTTGGGAGCTCACAAAAGAAGGCTTTGTATAGGAGCTTGCTCTTTTCTGTGTTATCTTCTGCTGGTCTAGCGCCTGGTCTCCCTTCCAGGGTGGGGATGTGTGAGCAAATTCAATCAGCTGGTATGTCAATCAGGAAGTTGTGAATGTCCCAGATATGACCTTTGTCAACACTCTCCAGGTATTCCTTCCAGTGCTCTTCTGTTGTGCTCTTCTGCAGCTCCAAGAATTTATTCCTTACCCTGCAGTACTCTTTGTGTATTGGATGGTCAAGTTTGTGGTGCTTCTTGGTTTTTCTTGCTAGTTTCTTCAGTGCCTGGTTTTTGGCATTGAGCTCCAGTGACCACTGGTGTTTGGCATGTGGAGAGGGCTTGCTCATTGGGAATGTCACTTCAATGGCTGTTAGTATTGTGATTTGGAGGAGGTGTAGAACTAAACTTCCATCATGATCTTGGCATATGTGATTCTTGGTATTGGAAGCCTCCAGTGTTGCTATGCCTCTGGCAAGGGCCATGCACATGTCATATTTGGTCAGGAGGTTGATGAGGGTGGCTGAGCACTGTAGGTTGGGTCCTGTGAATAAATAATGGTGAGAGGCATCATCCCACATAGGCTTGTGACAATTAAAGCTCCCATCCATATTATACTGTCAAAGTTAAGCTCAATGATGGTTATATTACTGCTCTTGATGGGGGGTGGTGTATGCAGAATGGAGGAGCATGATTGATGCCCAGAAGGTGTCTGCTATTGCCTGAATGTCTACACCTTGCATGACTTTGCAATAAAGATCACTCTCTTTTATTGTGAAAGAAAATAGCAATGTCTACAGGTAGAGATGGGGGGGATGATAGGCACAGTGAGTCTGAGGGAAACACAACAGGATATAGTGTCCATGAGATTAATGGAAGCATATGTTGACATGGGAATGAAGTGGGCTGCTTCTAGAGGCTACTGGAGTGACCAATAATGATCAGGATTAGAGTCCAGAGTAAGTTGTCAAAGAGGCAGGGAACACTGGACTGTGGAATATGGGTGATGTATGATAAACAAATGTAAACAGACAAGCAACAGCACAAAGGTAAGGGATAACTTGATCTAAACAAGTCCTAGGGATGTCAGGAAAGTAAGTAAATGGACAGTAAAATGTAGGTAGTTGATCTATAGGTAGTCAAGCAATGTCTCTGAAGGGCCCACACCAGCTATCTAAGGTACACCAAAATGCCCATTTATGGTTCCATAGAAGGCCTATGCCTGTACCTGTGGAGGCATCCACCCAGATGTTGTAGTCTTGCATAGAAGGTGTTAGAATAACTATAAGAACCAAGCCACAAGTGAGCTAATGAGAGTGAACAGGACAATAGTCCAGTGTCAGTTGCCCTTGTGTTAGTGTAAACTAATGAGTGTACTATACCTATAGTACAGTGTCAGTTGCTAAAGAGCAACCAACACAGGACTTGCTACCTATGGGCGAGTCTATGTAAACAAGTGTAAAGACCACCTAAGTAAGTAAGGAATTCACATCACATGCTAAGTAAGAGTCCAATAGAGTGAGCAATATCATAACACAAATAACTCACACCATAAGGTGCTCAATCACCATAACAAATAGGAGGTAAGGAAGAGAGGTCTAATGGGGCTTGGTTAGAGGTTAACATATGCAACCACCATTTAAGATCCTAATATAACAGATGGATGGAGATAGTGTGGTGTGAAGTTGTTGTTATATGATAATGTCATATATCAAATCTGAGCACCTCCAATACCACCTATAGACATCCCACTGCTAGTCCAACCCCCAGCTTCCTTAGCCGCTTCATACCTCCTTCCCTGACAATGCATGCAGTGCATTTCAGCAAGACTAGCCTTGCTATCTCCACCCCGATTTCCACTCCAACCTCTAACACTACCCCTATTTATCTAACTCTATACTTCTAGCATCCAACCCTATCTAGAGCTCCACTCCTCTGCTCTGTCAGTTTGCCTGACCCTACTTCTATTCCCTTACCATTTCTGCTCCTCCAACCCCCTCTGTTCCTTTAGTTTCCCTTGTGTCAGCCTGCCTGACCATCAGTTCTGCCTCACTGCCTCACTGGTCCACTTCTAGGACTAGGAACTACTCAATTGGTCTTATCTTTTTTTGGTACTATAGTTTCTCTTGTTAGAATACCAGTAATTCTTATACTCACGTGATTATTGATCTGTTACATACATACTGTTCTCTGAGCTTCCAACTCATACTCAATCATCACCTCCTATGCTATGCTACTTACCTTAGAGTATATAAGACATCCTGCACTTAGTCTATAGTCTTCAGTCTAAATATCACCTTTTCTAAACCTTGCTATTCTGTTTCTGGACTTGGGAATTATCCTTGTTAACTCTTGTTTGCTGGGCCAAGGGGATTGACTCCCTAGGTTGACCACCTTCTCCACCTATCAGACTTCCTGTGCCTCAGCTGCCTTCTCCACCCTTCAGACTTGAGCTTAGTGCTCTTGTACATTTGACCTCCTTGCTTCTGCTCTGCTTTGGACTTCGTCTGATCAGTCCTCTCCACTCCACTTCTACTGTTGGTTCCAACCATGGTAGTCCTCTGCACCTCCCCTGTTGGGTTCTCAGCTCCATGCTGCATGACCTTGTAGGTCAGCAGTTGATGCAGTAATAGCATTGTGGGTCTGCAGCACTGAAGCCACATTCCAAGGTCCAGTCCACCAGTGCCACAGGTGTCAGTTTCTTGGCAACATGTTCCCACTATGTGGTCACTGGTGAGTTGCTAGTATTTCAAGCAACATGTAGGCTCTGGGAGCAGTTTCCAGATGGAGATCTTGCATCCCTTGATGGACATTGTTGGCACTTTCATCATTAGCCTAGATTTCAGTGTGTAAGGAGTTTGATCCATTTCACTCTTGTTAGAAACCTTGAGAGTGCCTACCATCAAGGTATCTTTGGGAATGGAGAGTTGAGGTGACTGGAGAACACATTAGGAAGAAACACCATGAAGGGAGAGAAAGGGTGTACTTGGGATTTGATACTTATAGGAAGATCTAGTCAGCAGTTAATAGCTCATAGATCAAAGCAAACAATTGATCTAGTGAGATTCACATTTGATGTGAGATGGAATGTGGTGTCGAGTGCAGGGCGAAACACTGATGAGCACATGAGAAGTTGAAAAATGCACTTTGCAATGGTATTAATACCATGCTCAGGGGTAAGGCAGAGTCTGAGGTACTTGGCTTCAGCTCATGTGCTGCACCCCTTACCTGAGTACATGCCCCTAATTTCAGATTGTAGTCTAATAAGAGTTTTATGAGCTCCGACAGGACATCAGAGTGGGGGCTCTCCAAAGGAGGGCTGACATACTACCAGATGAGTGCAGGAAAGTTGGGTGGGGGTTGGACCACCCAACAGGGGAGAAGCAGAAGACTACTGCAGTCAGAATCAACAGTAGAAGTGGAGCAGAAGAGACTGCTTGAATGAAGTCAGAACGGCTTCGCCAACAGTGCACTTGATGGGGTCAATCCCGTGTCCACTTCATGGAGCACCGAGACAGTGGAAGACTGAATGAAGGCTGTTCATCCAGAATGACTTGAGTCCAGCATCAGACCAGATACTAGAGTCATATATCACAAGTGAAGATCAAGTTAGAGAAATACATGGTTCTAACTATTGGGTATATATAGGTATCGTCCTATGAGTTCAGGGTAGGCCTATATGGCCAGAAAGTGTCCCAACTAGGTAAGCATCTGTGTGAGTCATAAGGACTCAGAGATAAGAGTCACCGGTTTAACGGTAAGGGTCCAGGGTATAGTACTGGCACAGCGGTGAGTGTCCAAGTCAGGTAACACTATCTGTCATGATAAGCAATAAGGGTTACCAGTGTATCAGTAGAGGCGATAAGGGAGAAGCGTGTGGCTTCTATTGATCCTAGTGTGGGTTTCGGTTGCTACTGTGATATCAGCGTGACTGTGGCCGATTCAAGTGCATTTGACCCTATAGGGGAAGCTATGCAATGCAAACCACAAACAACAAGTTGTATTGTCCAATTTAATAGTCAATGCCGATGCTGATGCCGATGCCGACTTGGCCAATTGAAGTTGAGCAAAGATGGAGTGAAACTGAGCGAAGTGGAGTGGACCTGAGTGGACCTGAGTGATAAATGAGTGGAATAGAGGAGGTGTGTGTGTGGTATGATGAGCAAACATTTAAGAGAGTCAGCCGACGACTCAATGGGAAATCACACAAGAAATCATTCCAAGTGAGAATTTGCTAGAGAAACTAAGAACATGGGCGGAACATATAGTAAGTGAGACTAAGCAATGAAGGGGAACTTTGGGTTGCTTAAGATGCCTCATGGATCACTAAATACTCGTTTCTCTGTGTCCATGTAATAAGGTGTGAGGTGGGGCGATAAAAGGCCAATAAGCAGTCCAATTATGCGAATGGGGATGGAAAGTGATCAAAGTAAGAGATATATGTACCAGTAGACGATGGGCCAATGACATGAGACGATGGACAGTGACCGATTGTGTGTGCAGACGATGTCCGACTTGGATCGATCATGACTGACTGGGCCGATTGTCAGCCAATGTCAATGTGGAGCAGCAGTGCGGGAAAGTGGGTCAGAGAGGATTGGAAAGATAGGGGATACTAGACAATATGCATATTAGTCAACATAGAACTTGCAGAAAACATCACCAGTCTGATGGTGCTGATGTTGCGGAGGAATAAATCAAGTACCATATACAGGAATAAGGCATGCAGCACAGTAGATCAAATCAATATGAATGATGGAAATATGGGGAGTCTCATTTGCATTAAGCAGGCTGTACCACACCCCACATTTTACAAGGTGTTTTGGCCAATTCAACATGTGCTTCAATGTTGGTTGGCCCATCATTGACTTCATTATCATTATTATTCTTGGCCTCTGCGCCATTGACAGCACATCTCCTGTAATGATGCACCTTCCAGTACCATTCCATTGTGTGATGTAACAAGTGATTGTTAGAAACATGAACGAAGCAAGGGCATTAGAAAATAAACCAAGTAACAACAAGTGGGTATTAGAACATGAACAAAGTAGCAAATAAACCTAACAACAACTTCTAAAATAAAGGTCTGTACAATTCCATTGGTGGATACTGGGCATCAGCCAGAGTGCACAACTTTGCAGCATGACTGCCAGATCTGACTTGCCCAGGGTCATTGTACTTAGTGATGGTATATTGACCTTTGGTTTTGATTCACTTCTTATGGGTGAAGATATTTTTCATGTTGTGAGAATCAATGGGGGAGAGACATCTTTGAAACCAACTTCTTGGCCCACTCTCCTTGCCACTTGAGGCACTTTTCAAAGATGTCAATGGGAGACCATAAAGAACTATTTCCAGTGCTGCCTAACAAAAGGTCAATATCAGCATTGGTGGCCTGGCCAGGGCAGCAGTAAACAGACTTTCCGGCCCTCACAGTGCCAGTGCAGGGTTTGACCCCAGGCATTGAGATGGGTGGGGACAGCAATGTGTGTGGCTGTCATATACCAATCCAACCGCTCCACCGACATCAATATCTGCTCTGCCTGACACTTCATCCCTCCTGCTTTCCTGTCACCTCCGCTCCACCTGTCCTCTGCTTGAGCCAGTTGGC